ATCGAATCCCCTTTTGAATGAAATGTGTATGGAAAACTAATTTCTTTATGATTTTTCAGTTATGTGCCATGCGTGATACACGCTTAGGCGATCATGTATCTTTCGATACATGACTGACGAGGCAGATTAATTTCCCGCAGTTGGTTGCCATTTCTTTCTGCGGTAGACCAGTTGCCATCTAAAGCTATAGAACCCGGTCTGTCCTGTGGAGAAGAAGAGGATTCATACCTTTCCCAAAGGTATTGGCACGTAAGAGAATGTAATGGTTTCGACTGAAATTCGAACTCGGCTTTAACTGACAGTTAAAAACGACGAAGTTTGAGACAATATAACCGGTTCGATTCCAATAGAACACCGAGGAAAGGCGAAAGAAACTCATAAATGTATGAAACGTATTGTGCAATTGATATCATATGATCAGCATAAGTGGATTATACGTGTAAATTTGAAAATGGTTTGTTTTGTGCTTGGGCAACAAAATGGACACACAGAATGTCTATGTTTCCTTTGATTGTGGGACAGTCGAGTGAAATGTGAACATTAGGAAAGAAAGGATTTTCTGATCAGCGACCAATTGAATGCTGAGGAAAAGAACATCATAAAAGAATTATTAGTTGACAGAAACAGAATTCTCTTCCCTCCATTTCATATCAAATTGGGTCTGTGACAGACATGGATAAACAAGGAAAATGTTTTGACTACATTTGTAAAGCATTTCTAGTGCGAAAAGGTCAAAGCTGCTATTTTCGATAAACCTCAAAGAAAGCTCAAATTTTGTACTTTCTATGAATGAAACCGATGCCATAGACCGGAAGGCCTTTGTAGACCAATTGTTATCAAATTTATCGGAAACATCAACCATGATAGTTACGTTGGATTGATTGAAAGTTTTCATGCACGTGGTTGTAGTATGAGTCTTCAATAGATTTTTTTTGTTCAGCCATTTGAAGAGTTCCTCTGAAAACCTGGGTGATGTAAGTGATACACAAAGGAAGGATTCTATCAGGACATTAAAACATGGAACAGAACTTTATACTGGGATAAAAGTTATGATGGTCGATTTTGTTGATGCTTGTAAAGGGGGTGTTATCAATGATTTTCATCGTAGAAAGTTAAAATAAAAAGAAAGCTTTATCGTTGAAACTGAGTTAGAATCTCGTGAAATTATCTTGTTTTGTATCACAATCTGTTCCAGTTATTTTTATTATGTCGTTATTTTTCTTATGACATGCGCTTTGTGGTTTTTTAATCAGGTTCCGGTTCTGTAGATTTTTAGGGTCAAATGTGAAGTTATTTGGCTGATTTCGAGAGCGAAAAAAATCGACGTGAGGAGCAAAAGTGGATATGATTTTTCGATTCTGTACTCCCAAAAAAGTTACAAGAAAATTAAAATATCTCGTTGAGCAAACCTATTTTTTTCTGTAGATTTGTATATGACCGCCATAGTAATATGACTTGGTGATTTTATTTATGTGCTGGACGAAGTGTGTAAAAGTATAAAAATAATCATAAACATATATTTAGAATGACATATCTCCAAGTATGTATCTAGTTCAGTTTTTTTATTTATTTAAAGACAATAAATTAACCTAGTATTATCAGAATATTAGAGAAGCATTTTTCTTTGGATCGGTATTCAAGTGATTATTCTTGCCTTTACATCTTGTTCTCTGATTGCATTTTTCTTCCAGTTGACACTATTATTAACTGGCGTTCGTTTTGCTCGTATCAAAAGAATACTTCTTACGATCACCGTGCCGCGTTGCTTCTGCATTGATGGCTTTCAATAACAATGCACACTGACATATAATGGTGTTTATTTTATCAATTATCAACATTCAGCGTCATTGTCTTTTTTTTTTTTTTTATATCGCAGCCTCTTTTTGCATGTCTTCATTTCTGACCGACAGAAGGTTATTTTCTTTAACGTTCCTGACATGATTGGTCTATTCAATGATACACGGTGGCATTGCGAGACACTCAATTGATGTGATGCTACTTACACTGAGTAACAGAGAACGTGTCTCCACAAAGGAGTTATTTTATTAATACTGTATGTAATTAACACAAAAATATAACTGTTATATATATATATATATATATATATATATATATATATATATATATATATATATATATATATATATATATAGGTAGGTTCAAATAGAGTATAATTCCAATGTCCATAACATTATTTTTTTAAAAAGTACTCAATACAAAGCAGAGCTTTATAATATATCTATTTGAAATTATAAAAAAAACATGTTATGTAATCGCTACACAAATGCAATAATGTTTCAGCACTGTAAGTGCATCTTCAGGCGATGGTGATTTACTATATATATATATATATATATATCCGGTGCATGCGCTGAGAGCCTAAGGTTGAGACTTCGACTGCTATCAAATACTTTCGCATGTGCTGTGATATAGCGAAAAAGTGTGTCTGTGGATGACTATATATATATATATATATATAAAGTTAAAAAGAAAGTTTACGGTAGATGGCGCGTTGTTGCCATGGAGATTAGGTTACATTTGTTATTAATGTACATTTATGGCTACACCATCTTCAACGTTTAACGTGTATAGTAGTGAGTTAACTGAGACGTGTACCATTTAACAATGTCAAAATATTCATATCCTTAGCAGGCAGATTTGATTTTTACATACGGCCGCCAGAATGGTAATGGACGCGAGGCTGCACGGCTGTATCAGATTAAGTTTCCAGACAGACGGTGGCCGAGTCATCCAATCTTGGCTGCTGTTCATCATCGCGTTGCTGAGACAGGATCCGTGGTACCACACCCACGAAGATCCGCTCTTCTGCCTGACCTCAAAGAACACATTCCGCAGTCTGTCGGAGACAATCCGAATATCATCCCACGTCAAGTAGCTCTAGCATGTCGTATATCTCATAGTGCCGCATGGAGGTTACTTCAAGAGCAGTTCCTGCATCCATATCAGTCGCAATCTGTGCAGGGTCTCTTCGCCCTCTGATCACTCACGACGGCAAAACTTTTGACGATGGTTTATTTCACAAAGTGCCGATCTGTTGTTTTTCTCTTCAGTCTTGTTTGTGGATGAGGCAATATTTGATGGAATAAAAAATGTACGCAATCAACACCTGTGGTCGGATCAGAATCCCCAGGGTATATTACAGGTTAGACATTAACATCAGTTTATGTTTAATGCGTGGGTTTAAAATGGAGGTGACTGTCTTGTAGGTCCATAGGTTCTCCAAGCACGTCTTACAGAAGCTGCCTAGAGGGAGTTTATTTCAAACACACATCCATATCTGCTAGACCAGTGGTCGGCAACTCATTCGACCCCGCGGGCCGGATCGTGTTATAATGACGGGTCGCGGGCCGGACGAAGGCCATTAATGAAAAATTAAGGAAAATTACATATGCAGACCCCTGTCAACCTAAATATCTAAAACCAAAATGAAAATGAACCTTGAGAAATCAGAAAAACAAAAGAAAATCTAAAATTAAAAAACACCTAACAAAAATTACTTTTCCTCAAGGAACGTCAAAATACTTCAAAGTGAAAAAAATCAACCGAAGTGAAATGGATGAAATTATGACGTGTGGGTTTGAAACTGTTATTGAAAATTGTTCCACAAACGAACCACACACACACACATCAAACAAAACGAAGCACATATACCCATACATACGAGTACAAATAGTTGCAAACCTATACACTTACGTACGTACACATGCGGTATCATCCACATTCATGAGGCATGTATGTATAATGCGCGTATGTTTAACTGTCTTTAGGTTTCTGCTACCTCGCATGTCAGTCCCTCCCTGGCCTCTTTCACTTTATCGTTCCTTTCGCTTCTGTTATCTTTTAATGTAGCCAAAGGTCAGAACAAATATGTATCCATTATTTGACATTAAACGTAGGCAACGCAACTTGGTAAAATAAGTTTCATGAAAGATAACTGGCAGATAGTCTAATATTTTAATGCACTGAGATGTGTAGACATTCTATGGAAAATGACATATAACAAGTTTCATTTGAAGGTTGCCGACCCTTGTGCTAGAGGATGTACCACTGCAAATATATAGACGCTTGTGTTTTATACATGATGGAGCTCCATCATATTTTAGTCACATTGTTCATGATGCACTGACTGATATCTACCATGAAAGATGGCTAGGTAAGGGAGGACTGGTTGAATGGTCTGCACATTCCCGCAACCTCAATCCTTTGGATTTTTAGCTGTGGGGGCACCAAAAACAATTTGTTTATGCAGCAGACATTAATAATGCAGAGACTCATCATCAACGTGTCATGTACCTGCGAAACCATTCTACACCGTGTGGGAGTATTTGAAAGTGTCCGCCAGCCAATGATGTGGACGGATGCATGCGTGTGTAGAAATATGTGAAGGACATATTGAACATTTGGCATGAGTTGAAGTGTTGAGGTACAACGATGGCCTTTTGCATATATGGAAATTTTACCTTGTTTTGGCGTCATGGACCCACCCCCAGAATTTCTAAAAGTATTTTTGTATTGTATCTTGGATTGTACATTTAATAGCGTCTATCGCACGTAAACTTGAAACTTAAAAACGAAGGATTTGCAGACACAGGTTTATATGTAGTTTTTTCCTTATTTTGGCGCGAGGAATTGTCACTTTCTGAGTGGAATACTACAGGAGATAAGGAAATTATAGAAAAGACACGGGAAAAGCGAAAAGATGCATAATAAATTAATGGGTTGATTAAACTGTTGAAATTCTCGGAAGTTTTCGGTAGTATCCCTACACTAATAAAAACACATAAACATAATAACAAATAAAATAAACTCTTTATTTATCTACTTATCTGCACCTATTTTGAGTTTTGCAAAAGAGTACATTCACTAGTCAGGGGATATATATATATATATATATATATATATATATATATATATATATATATATATATATATATATCAGGGGTATATATATATATATATATATATATATATAATTCTAGTCTCTCTATATCTATCTATCTATCTATCTATCTATCTATCTATCTATCTATCTATCTATCTATCTAAATTCCAGTCGAATCTATTACATTCACTTACGTGCTAATACCCTTGGGAAATTATGAATCCTCTTCTTCTCCATCCAGCTATGGGTAAAATAGCAGGATAGACTAGATTCTATAGCCTTGGATGGCTACTGGTCTAGGAGAAGGACAACTCTGAATTCAAAACCTGCGGAGGGTCGTTTGGGGACCCTGTGGCACGTAGTTCATCAGGTCTCTGTATTTGGTGCTTCGAAATGTGTGGATGGTTCTGCACAAAACCTTCATTAAATACAATCAAATCTTTTGTGCTGGTGTCGGGCTGTCAGTTTCCTAGGAACTGATCTGCTTGACCCTCATACGTCGAATTCGAAGGAAAGAATCGAGTATATATATATATATAGATAGATAGATAGATATTGATAATATTAGTGGTAATAAAAAGGTGTTTAAGCCTTTTTATTATATATATATATATATATATATATAAATCACATATATAAATATAAATCGCATTCTTTTGTGATGCCTCGTTCCCAACAGCCCTCAAACATGACGTCACGTTGGACTATTTCAAACTTCCAGCTTTCCAAAAAATACCAAGATGCAGAGAAATTAATTCTATCACACAGATACCACATTGATTGTTGACAATGACTGCCATGTTTGAAATTACTTAAATAAAACAGATACAAGATATAAACTTCTGACAGCTAATCTACTACTTATACGAAGTTTTTTTTGGGGGAGTATATAATAAAAAAAATTAAATAGACAGATCTTGTCGGTTCTTTTTTTGTAATATATAATATATTGTTTGTATATATATATATTTTATATATATATATATATATATATATATTAAAGACATTTTTTTATGTTTAACGTTGTTATTTTATAGATACAAGTATTTAAGCAAATGCTCTGTTTATGATAAACAGTATTAAATAACATTTACCGGCCTGAATGTCCGAGAAATTTTCATAGAAAATTTTCGTTCTTTGACAGGATTCGAACCTGCATCCTATACGGAACCGTCATATACGCTGACGTGCCTTACCGCTAGGCTACAAAGAAGCGTTCGGTAGACAAGGTCGAATTTACTGCTTATAAACTCCAATTTTCCATGAATCTCGTACATTCATAACTGCTCTGGTGTATCGAATGTAAACAAATGACGTCATATATTAAGAAATGGACATGGTCCGACAATTTATTTATTAAAGACATTTTTTTATGTTTAACGTTGTTATTCAGGCCGGTAAACGTTATTTAATACTGTTTATCATAAACAGAGCATTTGCTTAAATACTTGTATCTATAAAATAACAACGTTAAACATAAAAAAATGTCTTTAATAAATAAATTGTCGGACCTTGTCCATTTCTTAATATATATATATATATATATAAATAAAAAAATGTCAATATTAGTGTGTCACTGTGTGACACTTTTTCATTTAAAGGAACACAACTTTCAATAGCTCATCTTCTATATAATAAATGCCAATATGCGTATGTCACCGTGTCACATTTTTTCAATTAAAGGGACACGACTTTCAATATCTCATCCTCTTCTATTTAATAAATGCCGATGTCAGTGTGTCACTGTTCCACACTTTTTCAATTAAAGGGACACAGCTCTCTAAATTTCAATAGCTCATGTTACAGAAATTTTGGATTCTCAAGTTTATCATTACTGCGATTGTTCTTGGCGATTTTTTTTTACGTGATTTTTTTGCGACGAACTTTTTGGTCCGATGACAGTTTTTATAACTGGAAATAGATTTGGGCCTACTTGAAATTAATTTTGAAATACAGCTAAAGTCACATATGAAATAAAAATAATTGTTTGTACGGAAAGTAAGGGCCTACGCACATCAAACTGTCTTTAAATTAAGTGGCAGCAGAAGAATTATTATTGAACTTTTAAAAGGAAACCTTAAATATTAATGCAATACTTAAATGCATCGATCAATTTTGAGTTCTTGAGTTAATTGTTGTCTATTGCATACGGCAGCGGTATAACTCGCAAATAGAAATTTCCGCCAACAGAGGACCAGATTGCAATCAAAAGATCCAAGGCTGCAGCGAGGAAAAGAAAATCCCGTGTAAATGAGAACCCAAGTCAAATGGCAGCCAGGATAGCTTCCAATGTTGAGAATATGCAAAGAGAGGGGCTCCAGAACAAGCTGAAACCCCAATGAAGAGCCCTCCGCAGGAGCTAGCTTAAATAGGGCGGCTTTTATTCTAATATATATATATATATATATATATATATATATATGAGGAAGAAGTTATACTTATTCTAACGAGAGAAATGTGTATATTTGTGTGTAGTGCACAAAAGCCAATGATTAAACATCGGAAAGCACAAGGAAAAAATTAATTTCTTTAAATAATATGTGAAAATAGTCATTCTTCGACTGATGAAGGTAAAACGACTCGAAACTCGTGTAGCGAAATATGAAAATAAAGTATAATATATATATAAAAAAACACGTTAAAGCCAAAAACATTTCCGGCTTTTCTCTACTTTTTGATATATATATATATATATATATATATATATATATATAAGAAAGAAGAGAGTAAAACGTTTTTGGTTGTAAAAAACGTTTGCGGCACCTCTCTTCTCTTCTTTTTTAATATACATGCTTTTCTCTCATTGGAACCACTACAACATATTTCTTTTATATATATATATATATATATATATATATATATATATATATATATATATATATATATTGGAAATACATTGAAAATTTCTCGTATACAATTAATAAAATAAATCAAGTTCACAAGCTGCCTACCCTGAGTAATTATTAACGACACGTGTCGGATATATATATATATATATATATATATATATATATATATATATATATATATATATATATATATATAATTGTGCGTATGGATTATATTCACATCGATTTTTCCTTTTCCGTTGTATGCATCACCACCCATCTGAAATGTGTTACCTGCTTTTTGGTGAAAGTGTTTAACGAAACATTTGTTTGAAAAATGTAAAAATAACATTTTTATTAAAAAAAAAAATTCAAAATATTCTCCGCCTTAATTTTCATTTCATAATCTGATGATTCTTTTGTGTAAATTCATTTGTTCAATTCGTAATTGTCCGCAGTCATTTTACCACTTCATTGTCACATTCAATATCATTTTGTTTCGTTTTTGACATGACGTCATTAATATGGTTGCTTAATTGTCTCGCGTTTGTTAATAGCAAGTGAATTGAATATCGTAAAAGCTTCAGGTTTTTTTTATTCAAGTAAGTAAAATTCTTTCATAATTTTGGCCTGTTTTATTTGTTCTCAGTAAACATTTAAATCGCGATGATATATTTGTAATTATTTAGGCTCTTCTTCTTCTTATTATTATTATTAGTATTATCAATTATATCGATGCAAATGTTCTTAGCCTTTCGAGGGAAAAGGGATTTATTCGTTTAAATTCATAGTATCCTTATTCGGTCATTAAATTGTTTTCCATGGTTTCCTGTAATTGTAATTCACTTTTCAGGGATAATATGTATACCATCATTAAAGAACGATTGCAATATTGAATCGGTAAATTAATTTAAGGATTTTTCCTATATCTTGAAATTGTTAGAACCATTGAGCCAGAGAAGAAGTGTTGAATGGAGCAAAAAAGTGGTAGTCGGCAAGTGTCAGATCAAAAGAATATTGTGCATTCAAAAAATCTTTCTGTCTTCAAATCATGATTCTTGTCTATTCATTTACTTAGAAATGCCGTTTCATTTACAGTGTATTATTTAAAAGAGTTGGTTGATTGACTTTTCTGCGAATCCGTGCGTTGTTTGTCCTTCAAAAACTTTCTTTAATGCAGAAGTTTCATTTTCCGTTGTATGCATCTATACCCATTTGAAATATGTTACCTGCTTTTTTGTGAAAGTGTTTAACGAAGCTTTTGTTTGAAATTCATCCAGACCGTTCGTTATTGCCTGGTGGTACGCCACGCCTGTACGCGGCCCCCTACGCCATACTCTAGCTTTAGAGTAAAGTAAGCGTGTATGAAAGTCTTTATTAGTATAGTATGTCGTAGGGGGCCGCGTACAGGCGTGGCGTACCACCAGGCAATAAGACGGTGCATATATAAGACAAAGGCTAAGGCACAAAGAATGGTTTTAAGTAGGTCAAGGCTGTTTATGAAAATAATAAATAAGATGTTTGATTGATAACAAGTTTGTACACGTAGAGTATCAGATTACAAGATATGGTGGAAGATTTATTGCTATGACGTCATGAAGATGAAAAGATAAGAACTTAATATATAAGGAGTATTGCTGAAAGACACGTCAGTGCGACGACATCTCCAGAGCAGTAACAGTGAGAAAAAAATTAAAGCGAAGCGTCCCGATATTCTTTACTATTGAAAGCGAACTTGTTATGGAATCTTCTCAACCAGACATAGACGTTATTCCTAAAATCCGGTTACACCGAATCCTCCACCATCTCTTGCAGATACAGATTTGGATAGTAAATCGGATGACGAACTGCTTTGCGACGAAACTACTCTGGACCAAGTAGTATTGTTATTAGCAATATATTTAAAGGTAAGGTTTTACTTGATTCTATTACTAATACATATTCAGATCGTATGTTGCGTAGTGGTAAAAGACTGAGAGAGGAATCGGAATCAGAAGGTGTAGATAAATACCTACGTACTGATAACAGTTCTGATCCTGGTGACTCAGAAATGGGAGATCCACACGTAGGGCCTACACCAGGTGGTGCTGCTATGATAGAAGAAGGTGATCAACCTGTTAAAATAGGTGATGCGAATCCTATCATACATAAGAGTTTTAGTCGTTCTTTTATACATTACATTGATCACGAACATGGTGGATTTGATATATTAACAGCTAAACGTATGGAAAGTATTATACATTTGGATATGAAACTTCGCATGTTAGACATTCCGTATAATTATTTGAACGCTAGTATGACGAATGTGGAATTGGAAACTTATTTAAGTGTTGCAAAATCATTTCGTGTTAAAAGTTGTGGTTTTCAAATAACTAACATAGTGCCAATAACTGATGAATTAGGGCAGGTACAGAATACTACAGTAACTAATACAACTTTTAATACTCGTCCATGGATTGCAGCGTATGTTGATTCCAAATATGGTCTGTTTCAACAGCGCGATTATACGCCGAATTCATTACCAAATAAGAATTTTACGAAGAATATTCCTTCCACACGATCGTAGGGTATAGACGTTTACCCTATAATTGGTGGAAACATCAAACGGGTTTGGAACTTTTAGATAAACAGACTACTACAGAAGTTGATTTACAATCAATCATGAGTATATATAATACTGGTGCATGGAAGATGTTGTCGGCTGGTGATACTTTTGGATATAATTGGATTAATAGAAATCCTGCATGGTTTAATCTATGTTCTTTTAGTAGCTTTTATGATATTATGAATTCAGCACCATCTTTACGTCCAATGCATCCCATACCAGTGGAGATAAATTCAAAAACTACTGGAGGTGAAAATGCTACACCATGGATGCCTAATAAGAATGGTAAATGGCAATTAAAGGCAAATCCAAACGTAGCAGGAGATGATTGGAATATGACTGGTAAGAGTTGTCTGACACAAATGCCAATTAATCCTTCTAATCCACCACCTGTATGTGGTTTAGATCCAATTCCTATTTTAGACAGTAAAAATAATCCTGCTAAGATAGCATTTTATCTTGTAGGTAATTATTTCAGTGAAATTGATTTCGAGTATATTTCGGGCTCGCCTCAAATGATCGGATTTATGTGTCCTACATCTACTGGTGCTTTTATTAACACATCTGATAAGACTAACGTATGCATGTTTCCTAGTGGTTTGCGTCACTATACAGGAGCACCTAATACAGCAACTGCTACACCGATACCGAGTGCTAAACGTTAACTGTCTTTTCTCTTTTTAGGTGGCAGATGAGAAGATATACATGGCAGTATATCAATTTATCGAGGATGAATTTATACTGCCTAAACACTATCTTCCAAAACATGTTCATACCATCGGAGATACGAATTCATTGCACGTAAATAGCGAATTCCTTAGCGCTCATGATCAGGATAAGATAGTAATAGGGGATGCGGCTAGAAAGTTTCTTAATTTTGTACGGTTACGTAAAGGTATACTTATATATCATTGTGCAGAACGTAGAGATCTGTGCAGGGGGAAACCATGGAATACCTATAATCACTTCCATTTAATTTGGAAGTCAAGCTGTGAACCCAGACGAGATTCAAGTTGGTATAGCGTAACGAAGTCTTATCACAAGGCGACAGGATTTAGACGCACTATACCTAAGGTTGTTGTAATGAAATTTCCATCAAGTGCTTGCAACTACTATTGCAAGAAACCTCGTCAGATCATTATTTATTCTGAGGAACCTGTATTGAAAGTTTTGAGTTCATGGTGTCAGATGAGCCATCTGGAAAAACCTCAAATTAAACAAGTTGCTGTTCCTACAGTTTCTCATGAAGAGAATAATGAACCTATGTTTACTAACGTTAGTGGAGGATCCTTAAATCTTTTCAACTATCTCAATTGGGTGTGGACAAGCAAGTCATATAGGTCAGAGTCAGAGATGAAAGCGGATTGGATTGGTAGAACGCACAATCCAAACAATAATTTCATGAGGGCCATATCTCACCCTCAGTATAATGCGATTATTAAAAAAGTTATAGATTGTAACCGCATAAAGTTAGTTAATCAGTCCTTCATGGACAAATATCATAAGAAGGACTGGAGTCTGTATCTTAATAATTCACATTACCTATCTTTAGACATTTCTTTACGTATATTCAGATTACTATTGCGTAGGCAAAATATAGATATTACAAACTTTGTAAACAACGTATGGAATATAATAAATCAAAAATATCCAAAGAAGAACCTTCTTATATTCCAAGGCGTTCCTGATAGTGGTAAATCCACTATAGCTAGGTCAATTGTTGATTTATTTCAACACTCAGCAACGGTCCAGGGTACTGCTAGCTTCCCATTTATGAGTCTTGTTAATGTTGAAATAGGACTCATAGAGGAACCTAACATGACGATGGAGACGTTGCAGACTTTCAGCTGAGGGTGTTGACACGGAAGTAAGCATCAAATACGGCGCAGATCAGACAATTAGGAGAACACCTCTCATAATAACATCGAATCATGACTTTGATCAACATGCACAATATGAGAGGGAGGCCTTTAAATCAAGATACATTAAATACAGATTTATAGCTACTAGTGACTTCCTCTCTAAAGCCAAAAAACCTTTGAATCCAGCGATATGGAATTCGTTATTTGAGGAATACGTCCTCTCAGAGGATACCTCTTCTGATTCTGATATAGCATTGTCCTCGTTTCTAGATGAGTATGAAAAAATTACGCCGCCTCCAACGGAGAAGAGAAAATCTGGAGCACCTTCTCAACCTTCCACACCAGAAAAACGAAATCGAACCGATGGACGAAGTGGATGGACTAGTTCTGCTGTCAAACGTTTGCGGTTCGATGACGACAATGATGACGACAGCAATTGACAATATAAAGATTCAACTTTCTTCTGCTGCCTCATTGTGCGTTAATGTAAATAAACATATTCGTTTAATATTACATGAACTATTACATCATTATCCAGATTTTCAATAAAAAAAAAAAAAATTATTATTAAACAAAATTTTGATGTTATGTTTTTATTATACCATTTTAGTATTTCGCATGATGCACCGTTCTTTCTTTCTTTTTATGTGCCATGTCCTTTCAGGACGTAGGCGATCATGGCTCTCCACTTCCCTCTATCCCTTGTAGATTTCAACAAGTTCCTTCCATCTGCTTCCTCCCTCAGACCACGTTCTCTCATCCACTTGCTTAAGCCCTCCAGGTATGACACGCATGGCTTTCCCTTGTCTCTCTTTCTCTTTCAACCCGTTAGTATCAGATTCTCCAGGCCCTCCATCCTCATTATGTGTCCCAGAAAATCCAGCTACCTCTTCCTGATATTAAATATGAGCCTTCTCCTTGCTTGCAACCTTTCTAAGACCTCATCGTTGCTCACACGCTCGGTCCACTAAATTCTTAGCATCCTTCAGTAGAACCACATCTCCGTCGACTCGAGGAAATGGTTCAGCATTTGCTGCCGTAAAGAAGGACAGATGTCACGTAACAGCTCAGTATTCTTTTCTTTGTTACCCAAGAAATCTTGCTGTCTCGCAATACTTTGCCCAGCCTTTGGAATGTGTCCTTGGCCATCCCAATACGTCTATGTCCTCAATTCTGAGATAATTTCGAAAATGGTAACTGTCAGTTCTTTATGATGCCGAATTGTCTCTCCACGCAGCCGGCGTATATTTTTGAACTACCTTACCTGGCGACTGAAGATTCCTTTGAAACCTTCCTGGGAAACAGAAGATATTTCCACGAACTTTTATCCAATAGCACATATCCTGGAGGCAACAGCGACGAAACTTTGGAATAAAAACGTGGAAAATATAAAATGAGGTTTTTAAATACTTCATCCCAATACGTCTACGGATCTCAGTGTCGCACTTACCGTCCTTTGTCAAGACGCTTCCCAGATATTTAAACTTCCGCGTCTGCTTGATTCCAGTGTTTCCGACCTACAAGTCGCATTTCTGGCCTCATCCTCTTTCTGATGAAAATGCATTCTGTCTTCTTGCAGTTTATGCTTAGTCCTTTCTTCTCACTCTCCGTCGCTCAGAGCTTAAAATCGCCTTTCTTGAATTTTGACGACCTTTTCTAATACGAGCTCGCACATACTGTATGATTAACGTACGTTTCAGCGTACCATTGGTTAGCCTCCGTTTCGCTTAAAAATGAAGTGTTTCTATTATAAAATCTGCATGTTATATTCAACGACGGTTGAACAAGCGCACATACATACACACAAATGAAAAACGATAAATAAAATTGACGCATTAACAAGGAATAGAGTTGAGTAAATTTCATAGACACTTTTAAGATTTCTCAACCATTGTATAGAAGATGACGGCGTTGCGTCAACAATATATTGTTTACTTAGACGTCATATTTTTTCAACTTGCAAAGTCTACTTCCAATTATCCATTGATTCCCCGAGACCATCTTCTTTGTTTATCACAAACATTTCAGTTATTGTTCCTTCCAGTGTTCTTCATGTGTCTCTCTCGCATCCAGTAAGCCTTCCGGGAATGTGGCTCTCATTCCGTTTACCTGTCACATCACGTCCTCTATTCTGAGATAATTTCGAAAATGGTAACTGTCAGTTCTTTATGATGCCGAATTGTCTCTCCACGCAGCCGGTGTATATTTTTGAACTACCTGACCTGGCGATTGAAGATTCCTTTGAAACCTTCCAGGGAAACAGAAGATATTTCCACTAACTTTTATCCAATAGAACAGCGACGAAAGTTTGGGATAAAAACGTGGAAAATATAAAATGAGGTTTTTAAATTATAAAAATAAAGTGCAGTTTAAAAAAAAACAAACTTGAAAATTAGGAGTAGCGAAAGTGTTTTCCAGAAAAAAACAAACAAATCAAAAGCATAGACTCCAAGAAGGCCACTGTTTTAGACAAAGTCCTACTGGTTGTTCTTAAGAATATCATTCCAAAGTTATTTCATATTCTACCAAAACTGTTCAATCGCTGCCTGAAAGAGTGATTGATTTGTTTAATGGCATATCAATTTAATTTTCTTGGGAACTTTGTTTTTTTGTAATCCTTGCTTCTAAGAAGGCCATCGTTCTGGACAAATTTTCAGTGGTTGTTCTTAAGAACATCATCCCAATGTTATCTCTAATTCTGGCAAAACTCTTCAATCGCTGCCTGAAGGAGTGATTGATTTGTTTAAACGCATATCAATTCAATTTTCTTGGGAACATTTTTTATTTATAATCCTTGACTCTAAGAAAGCTACCGGTCTGGACAAAGTTCCACTGTTTATTCTGAAGATTATCATCCCATAGTTATCTCCAATTCTGACAAAACTGTTCAATTGCTGCCTGCAGTAGTAACTGATCTGTTTAATGGTGTATTGTGAGACCGGAAACTACCTACAAAATAGACTCTTCCAGGCCTATATTAAGTAGGCGACATAACACTCTAGAGAGTTGCACCGAACGACTTTTTTGACTGTTATTTTGACCCCCGTTTTTTTTTTATTTTTCAGTACTGTGTGGCGAGACTGTTTCTTTTTTGCTTCATTATTTGGACGAATTTTTTTTGAAAACACCGGACCTTTTTTCTGATAAGTTATTGTTTTAGTTTCATTCTTTTAATTTTTTCCATTTCTTTTGTTTGTTTTTTAATTTGTTTTTGGGCTTCGGCTCACATTTTTTTTCCCTTTTTTTAGTCCGGTTTGACAAAGTCTTACCGGACGACGGCTTTTTTATTTTTTGTTTATTTTCTCTAATTTAAAAAAAAAAAGACCAGTTTAGTCAAAAGAAAAAGAAGCTTTGTGTTTATTTCTTTTTTATTTTTATTTTCTTAGCGACTTCAGTCGCCTTCTTTCTCCTTTTTATTTTGGTTTGACTAGTTTATTTTTCTTTTAATTCATTTTCTTTAGCGGCGTCAGCCGCTAAACTTTATTTTTTATTTTCTTTTTGTACATTTGTAAATTTTTCTGAAAAAAAAGAGAAGTTTCTGGTTTTTCTTTTCATTTTCGGCTGCCTTCGGGCGCCATTTTTATTTTTGTTTAAAAAAGTAAGTCTTACCTGTTTATTTTTTTTTCAGTTTTTGTCATTTATTTTTTATTTTTTTTGTTGTTTGTTTATCTTTAAATCTTAATTTCCTGGTTTATCCAGGCTTTCTTTATTTTGCTTTCCCCAACTCCTCTCTCTGTGATAAATTACAAAAGACCCACTAGTGGTAGTATCCACGTTGTATCAACATGGCCGACGAGGGCAGTCGGTCGAGGGTAAAAAAGGACCTCTTTGGGAAGGATGATAATGCCAACCCAACTGAGAATGATGGAAAAAAGCGGGCTGGAAAAAGCCCCAAATCTGACCATAGCATCTCCAGAAAAGGAGATGCTAACAAAAATGACAAAAATGACAAAAATGATAATGCGCCTAAAGAGGCGTCAGTTAAATCGACCGAAGAGTTGCCCTCTTGTTGGAAGTCCCCACCTAGCTGTATACTGAACATGGCGGATTTCCTGGATAAGGCGAAAGGTTACGCCCATCTGGTTAATAAAGATGGGTTCGTCGATGATGTCCAGGATCTCGATATGTTCTCTAAGAGAATGGTGACCGTTTTTGTGGTGGACAAGAAAACCAGAAAGATTTGTCGCTCCACTAAAGACATTGTGATCAAATCACTTTTGTCCCTGGGGATAAAACCCCAAAGAGTTATAAAAGGTAGGGGTTTCTTCATGTGGGACATTCTGCTGCCCACACCAGAAGATTGCCTGGCTATGGCCAAGAAAGAATTGATCACGAAAGATCTAATTTTGAGAACTGAATACGAAGGCCGCAGGCGGACCAGGGTGGCCGTTTTTGAGGTTCCTCCTCAAATTTCCGGAGAGCTCCTGGCTGCATTTTTTATGCAGTACGTCCAGATTTTAGGGGCTCTCTCCGACAATCTGAACGGGGGATGGACTTTTGACATCATGCTCGATCAAGAGGCCTTCAAGTCCGTCCCCAACTGTTTGGTGTTAGGCGACCGGAAAATGCCGTTCATAGTGACTAGTAGGCGTCCGACTTGCTGGAGGTGTGGAGAGACTGGTCACCTTTCCTCCTCCTGCCCAGGGAAGAAGGCCCCTGGAGTTCCGGGCTTAGGTGACCAAAATTCCCCCTTGGCCGAAAAGGAAAAATCCGCGGCACCTGTAATGGGTTTAGCTGCGAGGCGGACCGATGGGCAAAGTCCCTCGGTTGGGTCCAAGCCCACATTGCCCCCGAAACCAACGCCTGCCACTAGTGTGGTTAAGGAGAAGGAGGAGGGGGAATGGCACCTCGTGGTTAGGGGCAAGGGGAAGACCCAAACAGCGGTTCCTCCGTCCCAACATGACACCAGGGACATAATCACCTACAGCCCCATTCCCTCTACCAGCTCTGAGGTCGACGCCTCGACGTCGTATGAGAAAACTGCTACTGCTACCCAGAAAATGAATGAACCGAGCTGGGAAAAAATACTCGATCTGAAAAAATTGAAGGAAAAATTACAGGCCAAGCGGGCTAAAGATAAAAAGTCGCTGGGGGCACCGGGCCCCCTATCCTCTGCCCCGTCTTCCCCTACTTCATCTAAAAAACCCTTCTTAAAACCTCCTCCTCCGAAATCTCTATCTAAATCTCATCTTGCAGTTAAACCTTCACCCGTAAGAACGCCTTCGGGCATGACTCCTTCTACCACTCCCAACATTACACCCGTTCCTACACCACAAAAAAAGAGAGTGAGAAGTCCGGAGTCGCAAACTGCTACGGAAAAGAAAAAGAAGAAAGTGAAACCACCATATCTCCCGGGGGAAGACGTCTGCCGCGTATCCCGGGAACAGGCGGAACGGGTCTTCGGCCAAACGAAGAACCCAAAGAACTTAAAAGTACTGTG